CAACAGACACACACACATTGATTTACTTCATGTTTTGACTACTGCTATGACCAGCTGCAAAGCTGGTAACAGAGACGTCTCGGTTGACGTTTCTGTGTAGTATGGGGCTAGCCCAACCGAGGGGATATAATGTATAGGCCTGGTGAGTTCAGGGTCTTTCATCTTACATCTGCCTGGGTGCAGGTTGGAGGTGCAAGATACCTGAGTGTGTAATGTTAATTTTACCTGTGTTCATTGAATTAATCAGCACTGTTTTGAAGTTACTTGGACTGCCTCGTCTCTCAGAGTTAGCATGGTAGCAAGAACTGGACCCTACATTATCATGCCAACTTTTTAAAGTTAAGAGGTTAACAGGTCCTCCCAGTTAGGAAACATTTGATTTACAGACTGAATCTGATCACTCCTAGATTTTTTAACAAAGGAAAATCATTTACAGACAGTTGATGTGGGTTCAGACCAGGACAAACATTCCTCTGAAGTGTCAACGGGTGAATTATTGACAGGTAAATGAAGTCGCTGCCTGTAGTGCAGTGTTGGTTGCACTCTCACTTAATGATTTTCTTGTAAACACCTTTTCCTGCAGACACAGTGATAAAAACACTGGGTTGTTAAGATGATTTACACACTGACCTTTCCTGCAATAACTGGAAGAATAACTGTACAAAATTTATTTTAAAAAAAATCCCAAAGAACCAGCCTTGCTAAAGAGTACGTGGATTTGTTGTTTTCAAAGTGACTGTTTCCTTTAAATATTCTCCTCCCTTTTTGAAAAATTGCCTCCTTTACTGGCATTCAGAATGGAAAATTGAGTTTTGCCTGAGCAATCACCTTTACAGTAAACTCCATGCAGGAGATAAAAGCAGGAAGGCTTACAAAAAAACAAAAAAACAAAACTGTAGGCCTGCATAGACATGTACCACACCACAAGGAGCATGTGAGCATATGACGCAATTGCCAAGATTTGACAGGAAATCCCCATGAAAGGAGTTGAGGGAGGAACAACTGAGAGGAGGAGGGTTGTTAGGGGATTACCATGAAAAAAGTAGAGCTGATGTCATATCATACAAACACAGCCTGGAGTGTCAGGAAGGGTGAGGAAATAAATAAATCCAAGGTAAGCAGTAAGGGCAAATTAAAAAGAGGACACTCCCATAGCAAACAATGGATGGGCAATGTAAGTGAGATAGACGTAATGGAAAATTTTGGATTCTCCCTGAGGGATAGAGGAGAAGCATTCTCAAGGAGAGCTGGGTTAGTGTCACTGCTTTCATTTCTAAGACACAGGTGGATTAAAGGGCATTAGAACCACAGTACACCCAGCGAGGTTCCTTATTTGTTCTTCAGCTTCTTCTATCAAATAAACTCAGAGATGTGACAGAAAAAAGTTGTGGATAAAAGAAGGAAGAGTCTGAGAGAGGGACCTCAAATACGTTTCTCCTGAACTTTAAATTAAATCAGAATCAGCTTAATTGGCCAGGTGTCCAGTGCAGTGGCTCTCAATGTGTATGTACAATGCTCTTCCCGAAGGCAACCAGTAGACAAGTAAACAAGCTAAGACTGAGAGAAGGGGGAAAGAAATGGTCCTTGTGTCAGGTTGTCTTGGCGTACAGTGACCTGTAGCGCTGTCCAGAGGGGAGGCGTTCAAACTGGTTGTGTCCAGAGTGTGAGGGGTCTGCAGAAGTCTTCTCTGCCCACCTTTTGACCCTGAGGTGTACAGGTCCTCCATGGAGGCCAGGCTGGCACCGATGATTGTTTCTGCAGTCCTGACTGTTGGGACAGAAAACACTCAATCCAACATGTAATGATTTATCTATTTGTTTTGTGAAGCCTTGTATCAGCATGTTTAACCAGGGCCAGCCCTTGTGGGATTGTACTTGTATGAAGGAGTGACATACAAATCATCACAATGTGTGGGCATACACGTGGAGTGCGTGCTCGTCCTTTCACTACATCAAGTGTAGCTATTTAGAGCTTGCTGACTCATAGTGTATATTGGGTTGAAACCGCGTACGTTTTTGGCAAATCATCAACAGTGGCAGGCCATCCTCCCCCCAAGCCCCAGGAGTGTATAAATAATCAGGGCAGCTCACTTATGACTTCATTCACATCTCTAAATCATCGAGGAAAGACCTAGATCAGAAGAAATGTATTCAGAGCTTGAGTGCGGAATTTGTTACCGGACCTACACCGCAGGTCGGCGGTGTCCCCGGGAGCTCCACTGCAAACACAGCTTCTGTGAGAGCTGCCTCCTGGTCCTCTACCGACACCTGGGATCCCCTGAGGCACGTCTGGAAGCTGACAGGTTCATCGTGTGCCCTCTGTGCCGGCAAACAACATCCATCTCCGGCGAGGGGGGCGTGCGCTCCGAGCTGAGGGTGGATGAGTGCGCACTGGAACGGCTGCTGGCAGCGGGAGTCCTGGAAGAGGAGGGCCAGCATGAGGACGGCTGTGACGACAACGAGGAGGCGACGCTTCCAGAAACTCCAGGCGAGGAGAGTGATCCGTCACTGGGCGCCAGGCGTGGGCCGCCCCGGCGGTTTTGGAGGAAAGTTTGGCGGAAAATTGTTGGGAAGAGCGCACGGCAGAGGGGCGGAGACAGTAAGTACACAACTGATTGTGGTTCATAACTCGTTTGTCAGTTGTCATGTTGTTGGCTAAATACACAGTGTGAGTGAGACTGTTAGGGACAAAACATGAGGGAGTCATTCCAGTGGACTGTAAACACAGACATTTGTTTTTATGTAAGCTGACAGACTAGGCCGCAGAGAGTTTAGAGATACAGTAGCCAACGTTTAGGATTTTAATTTCAGACTAACTGCCTCATTTCATAAAATCATCCACCATATGTTTTCTTGTTGGTTTCAGTCCTAGAATAATCTAGAGCAGAATTCAACACATCTTTGTGTAATTTGAACCTTTAGCACTCACAATAATTAACTTTTTTTTTTAATTATTTCTAACGTGTTCTGCTTTCTTTCACCAGACTCTATAACCAGTGATGACTTGAAGAACATCGCCATGATGTCCTGCCTCATGTTTTGAGCTGTCTGCAGCTTCAGATACCCTGGATAATGTGATGCTGTATTTATTTTCTGCTTTGTGGAAACTTGGCAACATAGACTTTTGCTGGCAAGACACATGAACACAGTCAACAAAATGCTTTAAGTTATCCTTTCAGCCTTTGTGATAGCTTTTTTTTTAACTGATGACCAATATGTAGCTGCTCAAATGAAACTGAGTTGCTGAACCTTATTTTTTCATGAATGTATTTATTTTGGAATATATTTGTTACATATTTAAGGAACAATAAAAGAGTTCTGGTTTCAATTTGGTGTTTTCTGTGGCTGAATTTTGAATGAGTCAATCTGTGTTTTAATCAGATTAAATATACTGGTCTAACTTTGGCGTGTGTGTGCAATGAAAACAAAATACTGCATTAAACTCTGGTCTAATTAAAAGTAGACAATAGAAAGTAAATGCAAAATTTACAAAGTGAGGAGGCAAAAGTACTCTTAAAAGGGGATGATATACTTGACACTGGTGGAAAGAGGTCAAATGCAGTATTTAAGCTTGAGAGACAGCTACAGGAAGTGGTTTGCCTGAACCAGGTGGACGGCATTGCCGCCAATCAGACACAACCAGCAGCAGAGCTCCTCAACACCTCATTTGTTTGACAAGCAACACACATGGTTTGACAACATTACTTCAACTTTTTAAGGTCTTCCTTTAACAAAGGTGGGGAGAAGCTGTCCACCATGTCAGGCAATATTGCTTTATACTCAAGGTAAATGTCACATTTTGCACATGATGGGAAACAGAGGGATTTCCATAAATTGCTACAGTATTGTTGTAAGGTAATACTGTGGTTTTATGCTCCTCTATAGACTCTTGTTGGTCTTTGTGCTGGTCTGTGCAGCTGTCATGCCGTTTATCATGTGTTCAGATGCTGCAAGAGGTGAGTGCACACAGGCTAATGTCTGCCAGGCCAGTTCTGCAGTTTCAATGATCTTTTGCTTATCTCACTATACTGAGTCCCGGAAAACTGTCATGAAGCATGTGTTGGCAGATTGGGTTGGATGAAGACAGATTGTTTGGTTCTAAATGTTTTAATGAAAGCGGTGTGATGGTTTGGTTTGTCGTTAACCTAGCAACCTGCTTTTCACTGGTAAAGAAATGCAGAGATGATGCAGAGAGGGAAAATCAGCAACTTCGCTCAGCACATTTGTAAACTAATTAAATCTTTTAGCATAGGAATTTCAAGTTATGTTTAAGCACTTAGCATTTATGTATTTAGCATAGGCATATTGTAAAAACTTATTCTTAATTTTTATATTTATCATTTTTCTTTTGTAGTATATTTTAACCACTTTGCACCACATTACTAAGACAAATTCCTTATATTTAAAAATATTAGCATGTTTCTGATTCTAAAGTGTGTGCCACAATTGCAAAGAACTAAACTTGAATGTCAGTCTCAGATTTTTCTTCTGATATTTTAGTAGAGTGATTTTATTTTGTATAGAAGGAATAAAACACTTCTTGTTTTTCCACATTTAGCCAGCCCTATAATAACCCAAGTGGACAATAGAGTGAAGCACAATATCCTCTGGTCACTGTTTACACCATCCAGGCAGAATCCTGCAGAAACTGGACTCGAAACTGGAACTATCAGTGAAACTGAGATGAGCGGGAATAACAGAGAAGCCTCGTCAATCATTCACCATTGGTCAAGCCCTCAGTTTACAGGTGGCAGCTTTAGTTATAGTCAAAACAGCCCAGATTACAGTCAGTCTGGACGAGTGCAGAGAGGTCACAGTGCAGGTGGAGTGAGGCCAACAAACAGCGTTTTCACCAGGTACTCTCAGCATAGAAGACAAAGCTTGGAGAGGCAACAACCCACAATGAATGACCTCCCCTTCCTTCAGAAATTAGCCCAAAGTAGAAATTCTCACAATTCACACCCAAGGATCACTAGAAAATCATTTCAAAGGGCAGCTCTCTCTAGTTTTTCACAAGCTCAGGCCCCTGAAAGCCCTCAAAAATCCTACAACAATGAAAACTCTCCAAACAAGGCTGAAGAGAAAACAGTTTGGCTATCCTTTGATTCTTCTCGTTTTTCATCCTGGAGCGGTCGACATCAGAGTGCACTACTGCCAAAGTCAACAGGGCATTACAGTGGCTATAAAGACACAAATGGGGAGCGGAGTACATCTAACAGGATTCAATCAAGCAGATTTCTCAGCTTTGCAAGTCAAACTGCGCCTCGGGCGCCATCGATCAGCAACAGCTTGGACGCCTCTGTTATTAAAAGCAACCCAAGCCCAGAAAAACTGACATCATCTATTACAGATGTCTCCCAGTGGCTGAACTTGGTGAGCAGCAGCGATACACCAAGGTACAAAAACCTTCAGTCATATCCGTTCAAAGACTCCCACAACACTTATGGTGGACGTGAGGTAGTTAAAAGAGTCACTGGTGATGGACCCAGCACTTTTTTCACAGCACTACATGAGCAAGGACCCTCAGCTGCACAAGCTTACAGCAGGCTTTCTTCACAGTTGGAACAATCACACAGTAAAGATCCAACAAAGGAAGTACAGCAGCTCCATAATAATGCTAGTCCACTGTATCACAATACCATCGTGGCCCAGTATGGTGCTCAGACACACAGTTTAACCAGATATCAACCCTTATTTATGATGCACTCCAGAAAACAAACTCCCGCTCAACTCCCCTTGCACCCTGCTTTAGGCAAAGGCAAGACCTTGGAAAGTCTTGCCTCTGTGCTTCATACAGATTCCCAGTACAACCATGCCACTAGCAGTGAGAAATCTGTTGTAGGAAGGCCAGCAATGACTAGAAGTGGGTCTGTGCACAGTTACACACCCGGACAATCCCTTGAAATCAACTATGGCTTGACAGGGTTTGAAAACCCTACATGGAAAGCTGTGAAAGAGCCATTTGTTCAGTCTCCCAGTGACAGACACAGCTCTGATGTAGGCAAGGACTACGTGCTTAAAAATCCAAAGATATTTCCTCCTTTGGCACTAAAATATAGCTTTAGACCGAGAGGAGCATCTACTACAACTCAAACACCAGCAAAACTTGAGAGGACACCCACAGATGATTCCTCGCCATCGCCTGACATTTTAAATATCATCCAAACCACAACTACTTTTATTCCAAGGCCATTAACATCAAGCTTTAGGGAAGTGCAGGCTCTGCTGCCTGAAAGTGATGCCAGTATGGATGGCAACCAAAGTCGCAAACAGTTCAGAATCTCTAAAAGAATACATGGTCTTAAAGGATTTGGCAGTCGACCACTTGAGGGAGCCAGAACCTTAGTTAGAGAACCAGACAAGTCTGCCACAC